TTCCCTCCGAAAGATTGTACAAAGCATCTGAATATGATCTCAAGTATATGTGGAAAGTCACTCCGAGGCATGATAACTAGTGTGTCAGGGACGCATACGCCTCCCATGCGGCCAGACAAGACAGCTTGCCACATGAGACAGCGAAGCGGCCCCTCACCGGTTTGTTCGGTCGTTTCAAGGATCCCATGAAGAAGATCCACGAACAGTTCTTGACCGGACGGGCCAACTTTCGCTTTGCTGTTTGGGCCAGGAGATCCCAGAGAAAACATCGCCTGTTGTCGCAGCGTCCAAATGGGTGGCGGTGACGAAGGAAGGTGAGGTTGGTTGTTTCTAGAGTTTCATGACCAAAGGGGTGATTGAAGAAAAGAAAGCTTAATTAGTTGTTTCAACAGAGCATTAAGAGGTCATCGGTCATTGAGATGTCATTGAGGCTGCTTGACTCACCATCAGCGATTTCCAGTGGTAAAGAGCTGCAGTTGGGGCCCTTTAGACTCACTGAAGGTGAGGCAATAGATGATTGACCAATTTGTACACGACCAAAATCTGATAGAATCTGACAGACCACCCTGGCATACTGTAGGAACATCATGCAACATCACAGGTCCCAACATGTCTCAACAAAAACCTCTGACAGTTTCTAAGTCAGGAGTGTGAGTCTAGGCGTCAGTTGGGTACAGCCTCGTGCAGATTACTATACATTTGTTGCACAAACGTACCGGATATTCTCCACGTTCGCGCGTTTGAGTGCAGAGATATGATCACAGTACCTCGGGAACCACCTGGGAACCTCTGCAGTGCAGTCATGGACTTTCTCAAGAAGCTGATACATAGATGTGACATAAATATATTACATAGTGCAGTCAGATACTTTCCGTCGTTGGAATCGCAAGAGTGTTGTGAGGTGCCAGGCAATCTATCCCAATCAGAAAAGCTTCACATGGCCAATGGTGCCATTTGAGTCTTTTTTTGCCGCACACTTGGTCAGGGTAAACACGTCGTGTGTTCCATCCGAGGGTGACATGCACTACCACCGCGGTCAGCCGTTGGAACGGCTCACCAGCGGCCAGTCGGACGGTCCGAGGCATACCTGGGGCTCTCGGTGCTTTTCATGTCTCTGGGCGAAGCAGAGGGGACCGGCTGTATCTCAGAGTATCGAAACATCAAAGCAGCGAAAGCAGCACGTCTTCCAGCAGCAGTTCCGAGAACTTCACCATTTCCATCATGTTTACAACCTGAGAAACCCACGTCATCCACCAGCCTCCAGCAGCCCCAAGCGGATACCTTCTTCCAGGGGGGAATGACAATACCCAGGAGGGCAAGCACCATGACACCACAGACATCCACAGAGGTTATGAGATGTTGGTCATGTCTCCCAGGAAAGCAGGTTATCTTCTCCAAAACCCTCACATGCTCACTTGTGTGCGAGAATTAGTATTGGTGGACATGAGCAGGATTTGTGTTTGTGAAGAAACTAGGATACCAAGCACATTGAGAACATGAGAAGTGTAGAACTGCTGTGTCCATGGGTGTTTTCTGCAGGGTGATGTTCAGAATCGGCCTGAGGTTGTTGGAAGTGGCACACCAGAAGTTCGCCTGACCTGAGAAAACAAGTATGGACCATCACCGGGGGGAAAGCTTGGTCTACAATCAGGGTTTGACATCAGACATGATCAGACTAGACTTGATAAGGGGGGGCCTGGTAAGGCACCGCCAAGTCCATCGGTCCCTGTGAAGTGCTTTTAAAACATTGGTCTTACATCCAGTCTGAGATCCAGTGATTGTTGCCTCAAGCGGAGCCTGTATGTGGTGACTCAGAGGTTACGAAGAAAGAGTTTCTGACAGGGTTTGTCCCACCTGCAACAGTCGGTTAACAACCCTCACTATTTAGAGAAAGGCATTTGCCAACCATCATCATCCACTGTAGCAGGGAATTGGATAGACCCAACCTACAGAGCAATCCACAATTACAAAGAAAGAGTTTCCTGAAATATCTCTCTGGTGCCACCTGATGTTTTGTGGCGGCAACGACGAGGAGGAACTCGTCGCTGCCAGGTCCAGGCAGGTGCTCTTGCCTGCCGACACGTCTACGTCATTCCGAAAAAAAACACTACATGGAGTCCGCTGCAAAGAAGGATCAGTGTCCAAAACCAATAGGCTTCTGCTAGTGTACTAGTCATCCATGACAATTGAGATCATGTGACCGCAGTCATGAACTGATCGTGCTGTGATGTGATACATATGCACATGATTTGATACGCATGGTTGCATACTGTATATGTACATTATAGTAAGTGTGTTTAGGGCAACTCATTCTCCCAAAGTCAACTATATACAATGAAGTTCCTTTGACATAGATGTGTTTAGGCATTTGGCGATTAAAGAGGTGTTTTCCATGAAGATACTCTTGTAGCCCCTGGTCAAAAATATTAAGAATTGCAAAACACATATATTCAATAGCCACCAAAAACCACACGTGTAGAACAACTTCTTTTTGCGGGGGACTCGTACCATATATATAATATAGATTAACACGTGTGTATATGTTTTGTTGTTGTTGTTGTTGTTTTTTAAAAAATATATTTGACTATATAAATAGTTTATATGCTGTATATGTGCATGTATTGGGTCTGTCCTATTACCTGCAACAGCCAGTAAAGAATTACTGGTAATAGGATAGACCCAATGCATGTATATGTTTGTATATGTTTGTTCAGACTGCCGACCCCGGGCCGTCATTCCGGACGGGACCTGACGGTCCGAATCGGTGCTTTTCGTGACTGGGCCGTCGGAACACAGAGACGAAGACCAGGAACACCAACCACAGATTTCTATGTGAGGGTGTGTTGAACCATGCCTCTCTCTAGACTTTAGCCTCATGGGTCCTTCTATAACCTCTTTAAAGACAGGATGTTCGGGTTTTCGGCCGATCGAAATCGGCCTTTCAGATCTGTGAAGCGAGCCTTCTGTTCTTAGCGGTTGTGAAGCTGGATCCAGCAACAAGGAAAACGAAGACTATCAACAGAGGTTGAAGAACCCTATAGACTATCCTACAGTATAGGTACCCCTGTAGGGTCCTATAAGGTCACTTAACCTCTGTTGGTATGTTTTGTTTTGCTCCAAAATGAATGGTTTTGGAATTCTACACTCCCTTCGTCAACTAAGGTAGACCCTGACTCTGGCCCCCCCTGGAAGAGTGTAGGTTCCTTTACCAACCAGTGGTTTTCATGGTCCATTTGATCGTCGACACCAGGGTGTCACACATATGACCAGCTACTTGATGCAATGCTTCGGTCTCTCAAAGAAATATGCTTTGTGCCACGGTCAATACGGTCCGCGCGGCCACGGTGCGACACCGGCGTCAAACGCCCTCAGGTGGGACGACTGTTTGGTGTCGCTGGTGGGGTTCGTGCACGTCGCCAGCGATGGGGAATGAAAACATGCGTCGGCACGATGGGAAAGCTGGGGGACCAGGTATTGAAAGGTACACCATAGGAGTACCAAAGGTATACACTATTTATACCGTTTCAGAAGTAGGTATGCCTTCAGTTGAGGGTACCTAAGGTATACCTTAGGTCTCTGTCTGCAAGCTTACATAGAGAGTCCAGTGAGCCTTGATCACTCAGTGGAAAGGTCGAAACTTCTCAGGGCTTTGAAAGGCAGTCAGACATGGACAGGGCCCGGATAAGCCAGCAACTGTTGACCAAAAGACCACCTCTTGACCTCTCAGTGGAGTTGTGGAAGCCAAGCTATACACTTTCCCCTGCCACTTCAGAGGGAGAAAACCTCTCTTGGATGTTCACAACATTGAAAAGGGAAATAGCTGAACTCCTCGGACACAGAGCATTCGTTGGCTGGTCCAGAAAGGGTACCTCTTGGGAAAGGCCCTCTACTGTTTACCTGGGAATCCTGGGAAGTATGACGGACATTCCATGAATGTTATCTGAAAGTCCGTCGGCTTTCAGCAGACGAAGACGAATTCCGAAGACGAGTTGTCAGGGAATGTGTCGTCAGAATGCGTCGTCGGTACATGGGATCAGTTTCTGCAATCTGGCAAGTGAGTGACCAGTGAGTGACCCGGAGTTTGACCATAATCCAATGCCTCACCAACAAATTCTGATCTTGAGGGCGCGATCCCAGAGTTTGGCAGTCGTAGCTGCAGCTTCTCTCATGTAAGCGGTAGTCGTAGTGCATGCTGCGTTAGTAAGTTCCTTTTGACAATCCGAGCAGTGACTCCCATGCAGGGGCTTGAAAGCTGTTGCCACTTGAGCGCAGGCTTCACTGCTTCGGGCTGCAACGCCGAGTTAGTCAGCATGACCATAGTTGGTACATTGAGCGAATATTGGAGCGCTTGGCGTGGGCACTCAAGATGCAAGTTTCAGATCTTCACCACTTGAAGCAGCCTGGCTGGCGGGGCTGATGCAAATTTGGCTCAATTCAATTAAGTTGCACAGATGTGAACAGCCACTCAGATGCACTGACATCCGAGGGTACATATGTGCACAGTAAGGATTTGAGGGGGCCTTGCGTGTAGTGCGGCAACTCAAATTTTCAGCATGTTGCAACAGTTGCGGGGTTTGTTGGCAGAGCAGGCCGCGGCCCCTTGCCTGGGTAATGTTGATTGAACACTTTCGCTCACGATAATTGTTTTATGTTCCGGATGACTTGGGTTGTCTCAGGTTTGTCGTTGCTTGTTGCATGGGACAGGTGGTTGTACATGACAAGATTTTTGGATGGCGGTACGCAGCATGGCAAAATTCAGGGCACGGCGTCCTGAGTGGTTTTGGTTTCACAACAGTGCGTGGTTCTAATGGTTGTTTGAAGTATTTGGGTTCCACTGTTAGCAGTTAAAAAACATCGGAATCATACATACATGTTTTCAATAATATGGTTGGTTTTGATAGGTTGGTTTTCAGGTTGTTCGTTTTGTTGCTATTCCCAGACTTGAATGACGATGTGTTCAATGCGAAGATGGAGACAGGGATGTTTTCACTGAGGCGTTGAGGTCATGCCGCGGGGGAACTCAGAGAGTGCGGCAAAGCACAAGGAAAAAACCATTGGAGTGGTCGTTCAGAGTCTGACCATTTCAATTTCCAGTGTTTTGGTTTAATGATTTTTGCAAAGCTTAGTGAAGAGGGGACGTGGAGGACAAAATCATTATGAAATTCCAGTTTTATGATGTTTCTGGAATTTTTGAAGATTTGGCACGGTTTTGCACAGTTGTTTTACAGTATTTCTATTTTTGGAGCTGCGTTTGCAATGTTGATCTTAGGAACTTTAAATTCAAAGAATGTCCTTGTCAGCGGCCTCCTGCTGACACCCAAAAAAGGATGGGATGTCAGAGGATGCAATTCATATCAAGTCATCAATCTACTATATGAAATTCCTTGGTTTTTTTGTTCAACTTTCTCAAGTCGCCTGCTGCTTTCGGAGGCTTTCGGTAATGCTTTGCTGAACCCCACTCGAAGCCTGGGCTGAGTTCTCACCCTCGGCACTTGAGGTGCTGTAGAGGGTGCTGTGGAAAGTATGACCCGGATGTCCAGCCCTCAGAGTGTTAGATTGATCTTGGTCAAGGGAACACCCCGAAGCAATACAGAACCAACAAACAACTATCAACCAATGGTTGAGCAAAGAGATGTTGGAAGAACTCCTGTTTGTTTTCGTGTTTTTTCCAAGTGAAACATACACCGACACTGAGAAAAAGACATACTGACCCTTCCGAGACCATCCATGTAGTATATGTGGCTCTGTTCAACATTGCCACCCATGAACATGAGTTACCAATCGTGTGGAGTTCTCTTTCAGTCCCATGGTGCAGCCTGTCTTGGGGCGATCGCAGGGCTTGTGTCAATGTTCAGCGCCTCGGGCCAGGCTCCACTCGTGGAGGTGAATCTCTTAGAGGCCACGGAGCGTGGGAGAGGGCGGTGGGAGGAGGACCAGCGCAACAGTTTTGAGTATTTGGAATGAGAAGCATGTCGCGCGATTGGATGGGTGAACCCGAACATGAGGAAAGATGAAGAGGCAGGTGTTTGCAAAAGTGAGGTTAAGCTGTAATTCTGAGGTTGTAGGATGTCATGGACATGGATGTCATGGCTCATGGCTCACACCCTGTTGCCTAGATAGTGACTTTTCGTGGATAAGTCCCAGAAATCCCAGAAGACATCATTGTGGTTCCGGCTAGCAGCTAGCAAGTCTTTGATGCGTTTTTGGCTTCCTGTTTTTTTTTGCTTCGCCAGAATCCAGAGCGCTCTTGGACGTTGTTCCTTTCATTCGGACCCCCGAAATCAAGTGGAGCCCCGATCTCTCTCGCCTCCGGCACCGTTACGGGTCGACTCCGTCCCGAAACGTCGGGTTTTCCACTCCCCGGGCCCTCGCGGGACACGATCGCCGCGGGACAGGAAGATGGGGGAGTCGTGGGGAAGGACCATCCGAAGAACAACAATAATTAGGTCTTAAAGCTTCACTGCTTCACTCCACGAAGCCGATGATTTCAGGGAGTGTATCTCAACCCTTCTCAACCCCGTGTCAATCAGAGTCCCTGTTTGACCAGCCACCCTGAATCAGGACTGTCATCCGAAACTCCGACCCTTGTGACCCTTTGTGATGGCTTGGCCCCCCGCGAAACCGGACATCGCGGTTCAAGCGAGGCCGGCGAGTACAGCTTGAAGATTGGAGTTCGTCGCATTGGCTGCAGAAGGGAGAAGGGATCTCGAACGACGTTGAGTTGGACTTCCAACCAGATCAAAAGATATCAACATGCGTGGATGACCCCATGTTCAAAAACATCCAAAAACCAATGACGTCACTGAGAAATTGCATCATCGGTATGACTGCTGGGTCCCTTATGGGCGATGGATTTGCTCCATCGGTTTGCTCCGGTGGACCATTTCTACCCCGTGGACACCCGGACCCTGAAACCGCTGCAGCGGAAAGCAGTTCGGATCTCAGGGTTCTGACCCGGGAATGGTGAACATCATTGTTCTGCCCAAACCCTGCGGGTATTTGTGCGAGTTTTCCGAGTAATGAGTAATGTAATGTATAGCTGATATATACTGCAGTAAATAATCCCGAGTACCTAAAAAAAAAGGTCATGTCGGAACCCCTAAATACGGTGTATGTTTGTTGTTCAATTACCGCCCTTTCAAGCCGCTACTAAACTACCAACATGGCCGATTTTGGAGGATTTTCTTTTTAAAGGTTCCAAAACCAACCGTAACTGCCCACCTCTGTCCACCCTGTCTATCCACCATGACACGCCGTGCTTAGACCAGCAGGCTTTCCTTCCCCCAATGGCACGGACTCACGCAAACACACTCTCCACCGAGGTCATGCAAAGCAGCATGGCACAGCGACATCACCTTTCGAAAGCTTTAGTTGTTAGTCTAATGAAGAATCACTATTCTAATAAAGGCTTTTGTAGGGGGAAAAGGAAGACCCTTCGATCAGGAGGTTTTTTTTCTTCCATGAGCTTAATCATTGATTTTATAGAACAAATTTACTGGGTGACACTTTGGTTTCGAAGCCCTTCCCAGGTGACCCTATTTTGGACCACCCCGATTTCAGGGACCCCCTATAAAAAAAAGGCGACTGAGCTTTCCTTATTAGGGGGAGGGGGCAGGCGTGTTTTTTATTAGGTGGAGGTGGACCGGATTATTCAATCGACCCCAGGTTTGAACAGAGAGTGCAGGTTGTTCTGATCTGTTCCCATCGCCAGAAGATGACTGACAACTGGGATGCACGATGATTTATTGATGTGTGACTTGGCCGCGGTTTGTTCGCGGCCACCCCGAGGTTCTACGCCGCAATGGGCGAACAGACCCGATAACTAGCGATGGCCTCCAACCTAAGAGCGATGGCCTCGAACCTACGAGCGATGCCGAGAACCGGGTTTGCTGTCACGGACTCGACGGCGCGTCGAGGTCTGCCGAGGAGCTTCCTCCGGCGGAGAGCCGTACAGCCGCATGGCCCCGTTTTGGGAAGCGTCGTTTCGGTGGGTGGAGCGGGGAAGGCAAGAGATGCAGAAGTCAAGCAACCACTCTAATTACTGTAGGTGGGAGTTTTGACCGACATATTTTGAATTAACACCAACGGTGGGCAATAGTTGAACCAATGTTGAAATGCTGAAGACCTTGAGACACATTCTCATTCAGGCTACTCGGCTACTCCAAAAAAAAATACTCGTACCGAGAAATCCATTGATCCATGTGTTATTGAGATCTTGGTTTTCACTTCTGAAATGACATGCACTCTTCGCCATGCCAATCTATATAGTATCTATAGTTAGCACCCTTCGGCGACAGACCGACACCTACGTACCTTGGTGCTCTTTGGGTGACCGCACAAACTGATGTGCGGGCTTTGCGCCTCTCGGAAGAATCCCGGGAGAAAAGCTCAAACATGTGTATGACAAGATCATGGAAGAGCGATCCATCATAGATCAAGAGTGAGCGGCTTGAACAGGTTGAGTCGAGTCCTTGTTAGATGATAGACATCGGCGCACGCTGGGCCTTCCGAAAACCGTTTGAAGCCGATTGGCTTGGAAAGGGGGCAAGAAAGAGAGAACGTGGATGAAGGGCACTTCATTGAGCACTCCATTTGAGCGCGAGGTCTGGTGGGTCTTGTCTCCGTGTGTACGCTCACACACTCAACAAACACACACTTCATCTGGTTTCTCGTGAACAGAGCCGGGCAAGTTTCACTCAGTTGTACCCAATTCGCTTCACTCTAGCGATGCGAGGCCTGACCTCAACGCAGCCCCGAGAGGGAAAAACTTCAGACATCCTTTGCAGAAAGCTTCCTCCATCGAGAGTGCAGGTGCCCCCACAGATTTGACACTCTCCGACACTCCCTCCCTCTGCCTTTCACTCTCACTCTCACTCTGAAACCCCGCAAAATTGTCATGGGGCCCTCCCTCAATTGACAGTCTTCATCTTCATCTCTTTGCCCATTCGCGCTGGTGTGTTCACGGTATACTTGGAAGAACCCACCTTTCTTTCGCAACACTTTGACAACGAAAGCGAGTTCCTGCGTGGCCGAACTCGAGGCCGACCGTACCGTCTCTCGTTCCTGCCGACCTAGTCGTACCTTACGAGGTCGCTCCGGCAGGGTCGTCGTGGGGGAGTGAACGCAGGACGGTGAAGCTCGGTCGGTTGCAAGACTGCGGGTGTGACAAAACTGTGGCACTTTGGAACATCCACGTTGCCAGTTTTTAAGAGTGCGTTTCATCGACTCCATCAATCAAAAGCTCTTCGTAAAAAAATGCTGAGCGTCAGTCAAAAGCCTAAAACACGTAAGCGTGGCGCCCATGCTAGGATATGTGTACGAATGAATGAAGCCGCTCGCTAACTTTGTTGATCTTTGTTGTTCTCTTTAGCTTTGAACACGTTGAGACCTGGCATGATTTTAGAACTGTGGGTTTGCATGTGTGTTTGTTTTATGCCGTGAGAGTTCAGCTCAAAGTTGGCTCAGTTGTGTGTGCTCTGGGCGCGCAACGTCGACCCGACGAAAGCCAGAACGGCCAAAACCACGAGTTGCAGGAAGAGTCGCAGATGTCGCAGGATCAGGTGAGTGACTCGAGTCAAAGCCAGAAACACCCAAGACGGTGAAGCCTTGCTCGTGGTACCTGGTGCTCGGTCTTGTGCTTGCCGCTGCCGCAGTGGCCACCTTGTTTGTGTCGCCGGTGATGGTCGCGCGAGCCGAGTTGCAATCAGATCTAGGGGAGGTTCCGCCAAAGAGGAAAATGAGTGAATGCCATGACCATGAAGGTCACAAAGCCAGCTTGAAGAATTCAATACAAGCAGGCGGACCAGGTTGCTATGATTCAGAAAACATGTTTGACACAGATGGCAAACATATCCACATCAAGATCGACAACCGAAAGGGCCAATGCAAGGCAGTGTACACGAGCGGAGTCTCTCAGCCCTGCATCAGGGTGGTGTGCGCTGAGCAGCAAGATTACAAGGACACCGGAATGAATGATTTCGTGTCGGTCATCGCAAAAGGCACCGAAGACATGCTCGCAAGTGTGGACGCCACTCTCAAGGACACAGAGTTGACCCGCTGAGCGCAGTGGCATCATGGAAACATATATGTGGAAGGAAAAGGCGGTGAAGATTGGTGTGGACGGAGCAAAAGTGAGAGTGTGGAAAATGCCGGAATCGTTACGTTCGTTACGTCACGTAGCTGGTGGGTAGCTCTCTATCTTTGCTAAGGTTGTATACAGCATTTCCTCCCTTGTAAATCATTTGTCTCACTTTGATGCTTTTGACAACAAGGGCAGGTGAGAGCAAGCCCACGTGTCGTGACTTTTGTCCCCACAAAGCACCCTCGCTTCACCGGAATTCACCGCTGAAGAACCCGTGAAAAACCGTATTTATGCTCGGTCATCAAGCTCCAAACGTGGGCGCGGTCATTCAGTTGAACTTGTCCCCAGCTTTGAACAGAGCTTAAATCTCATGAGACTGAGCTTTGGTGGTACCAGTATGTGCCTAGATCCGATCTTCTGCCGGGTGGGGCGCCCACAGACAGATGGAAATGGTCAAGTGAAAGTGTTGACAACAGACAACCAGACATGGTTTCTTTGCAGTTTTGCATGGCAGGCATCTTCTGGCCCTCATTAGAGGGACACGTCTTGTGCAAAACAAAGCCGGACCACAATCACACACTCGTTGGAAAATGGATACGCACATCAAATTGTTCACTTCATGTTAAATGGAGTGTGCCAGCCAACCATACAATGGGTCTCCAATAATGGACTCCCCTACACACTTAGGACTTAGGGGTCTCCATTGGACACCTTTATTTCCTATGATCATCATGATCCTTTGTGAGGATCTCCATTGGACACCCATTGGATGGTCAATCAAGGTAGATTGATGGAAAAAACAAAAACCTCTTTACATTTCGCATGAAAAACACTGCATGTTGTTTAATGTTTATGTTGTTTTTGAATATGATTGTCGACTTTGTACAGCCAACAGAGGTTAAGTGACCTTATAGGCCACTACAGGGGTACCTATGGGATAGCCTATAGGGTCTTTCAACCTTTGTTGGTAAGATTCCTTTTGTTTTATTGTTTTTCTCTAGGCTAGATTCGCCTACGCCTATCCCGAACTCGAGGCTTTTGGTGGCGACCTTGGGAGGTCCTGAGCTTGACATCCTAGGCCCCAAGAAGGAACGCGGAACGCGACTGGCAAAGGTCATGGGTGGAATCAGGATGATTTGCAAGGAAACAGTGGCAGAATTTCATAAACCTATGGTGAAATATGGCGAAGCAAGAAGCAACACAACTGGAACGACTTGTCATATTTAAGGCGGTAGTAGTTGGGAAGATGAACATTTTCCAATCAGACCCCAGGCAGTTCTAGGATTGCGAACCCATCACGCCCAGTTGGGGCAGCTGATTGCGTGGGATGGGGTGGTTGTGGAATGGTTGGATCCTAGGAGGGCGTCATTGCTTCATGTTCATGGAAAATCATATTAACGAATTCTTTACAAAGTTGACCGTCAGCATGCTGCAAAAGAAACGGATTACAGTAGTACGGTTTTCCCATTACAGGTGTCATGTTGTATACCGTAGTATGGTAAAGGCGGTTTGCCTCTATGTTTGTTAAATGACTACTGTAGATATATATGCCACTATTCATGCGCCCACGCGGATTGGATCATTTAGACTGCCATGTATCACTTATACCGGTAGCTACATCGGAAGCCGTCTGGCTTCAGGAGTATGTCTCCTACAATGGCGGCCGTTTGGTACATCAGGCAGGTCACCGATTCACGATTCACAGCTGCCCGGGCCAGAACGGTACACCAACTGGGTGGGCCTTCAGTGAGCTTGGGTAAGGTTGACTGTGCAAGTGGGTTGACACAGCATCCCAAGTAAGGTTGACTCATCTCAAGTAAGGTACACACATGGTTTCCGTTTTTGTCAGCCTTTACTTGGGATGCAGACGAGCCCGCGGACGACTCCACGATTGAAGATAAAGCTAGTTGAAGCCACCAATCAGGAAAGGTGGACCTTGCGACGCGAATCTGAGCGCCATAGACTCCGAAGAGTGCAAAGATTGACTTGGTCTTGATCCAAAAACTGGTCTCCCACCAAGTGGGTGTACTTTTTTCCCATTTTGAGACACTGCTCTGGTCCCGGTGAACAAAACGACTTGCAGCTGGCTCTTCAGCCAAGTGATGTGGGTCATCACATGTCATCACTCACTGTGACTACCTGGCGTGTCAGAGTTACCGGGTGCACTTGAAATCTTTGGAGTTACACTCCCTGGACCAATCATCCAAGTGGAGAAGCACCTGTTTGCAGAGGAGGCTGGTCATCTGAGGGACCATTGTCATCTATTGTCCAATTCCGGTTTCAGGGAGTGTGCTCCCACCCAACCCTCGATTGTTGTCCATTTCCCCGGCCAGTGGAGTGTGCCGCCACCAAGAGCCACTAAGCACCTCAAAGAGGCCACAGATCACCCTCCAAATGTCCAAAAGTTGGAGTCAATGAGGAGGAGGTGTTGTTATTGTTATTCAAGCATGTTTAAACATATGTCTTTTCGCAATCCTCAAGATGTGTATACAGATTTTGTGTTTAATGGCGTTCAATTGGATGCTCTAAAGAACCACCACCGGTGCGCTGCGGCGCTTCACGGCTCGAAGCGTGAGCCGCCCTCCAGGTCAAAGAGCTTTTGCCAGACACCAGGCGCGGTGTCCTGGTTCAGTTCGTCATCTGAACCAGTTCAGGACATGGTAGGACTGAGGGTCAATGACTTAGGGTAGGACTCAACGGTCAGAGTGACCCTAGATGAACCCCGCGCCGATGAAGCGTCTCAGTGCAGAGGACATTTCGTTGAGGCGCAATCCAGGTGAACGAGTTGTTCTAGGGGAGAAATCCACACCTTCACATGTGTTCAATGAGATTGAGACATTGTGGCCCCACAGACTCGCACAGAGTGCAGAAGTGCAGCCGTCATCCATCCTGCACAGACTGTGCGACGTGAAATCATGTGTGTATTCCTGGAGCAGTACTGGATTATGATGGGTATATGATAGTTATGATGATTTTTCCCACAGTCACACCATCATACTTCCGGTGTAGGTACCAAAAGACAACGCAATCTATTGGACATGCCGAGGCAACAAGGGATTTGCATCGCTCTGAGGCGGTGTAGAATTCTGCCGGTGGAATGCGAGGGTATAGTCAAGTAATTACAACTGTTGTCCCGGTCCGGGCATTGTTGACCGCTGAACAGTCAGAATGGGACAAAACCTGAGCCCCAACACCACCTTTTGCCAGCTTCACGACCGACACCGCCTATAGGTGCGTCGGTCGACCTCCCTAGTTCCCCACGACGCCATGTGTGCTTCGACCGACCTGCTTCCTGCCTCCGAGTTGGATTTGTCCGGTTCCGTAGGTCTGGGTTGGAGACGAGTGTAGGGTCATGATTACAGGATGATTGACACATTCGTCTCGTGATTGGAAACCATCAGTGAGAGCCATTGCCCAGCTCCCTACAGCTCCCTGCAGGGCCCCCCCATATCATCCTCCCCCCGCGTTTGTCCGCCCCAGTGGAGCGACCGAAGAGAAACGCTGCTTTCGAAAGCACGTTTCGAACCCGAAGGGCCGGGTGACACGTTGTTCTCGATCTCCAAGATGGATGGACCCATCACCACCCAACTCCCGATCGACTGGCATACGGCATACGCCCAGACCACTCCATTATGCCATATATATGCCTACATTCACCCCCCAAACAACCCCAATGTAGGCATATATGGCATACATGGAGTGTCTGAGTACTAGATCAGTTGTGGTGGCCTTCACGAGGGTCCAGTCCCACCAATGATGTCCTCCACCTTCGAGGTACACTGTGGAAGTGTCACTGGCCGATGGACTTCTGGAGCCCGCCAAGCTGGAGGCCGTGTTTTTGCGATTGGGCGACTCTGTTGGGAGGGTGGCTTGAAACGAGCGGACGGGCTTTTGAAGCGCGACTCTATAGAAAAGCATCAAACATCTTCAAAAGAGGACTCTAAGCTCGAAAAATATTCAGACTACAAGCCATGTGAGATGAACTTTGCTACAGTTTCATATATATATATATATACTGTATAGTTTCATGAGAGTTGAACTCGGAGAGAAAAGTTGACGGAACAGGTGAGATCCATGTTTGATTGTACTCGCTTGAGGGAGGGTAAGAAACTTGCAGTATTTTAATCCAATCATAGAGCCAACATTGGCAAATTGGCTATGAGAAATTCTACAAAAGCAGGCCTTGGTTTAGTATCCTTGGTTTGAGTGAGCAAACATGGATGTCAGTTGCAGGTGGGGTATGTACACTCCTCCTCCCTCAGGCGCGCACAGCGCCAGCAACGACCTGCCAGTTTGCAGAAGAGGACTCGCAGGGAGAGAAAGAGAGAGAGAGAGGGGGGGGAAAGAGAAAGAGGTATAGTTTTGTATGTGTTTGTTTGTGTTTGCTTTGTAGCTTGTCCTTTGAACCATCCTTACCTGTCCATATCCTATGTTTTGCTTGTGACTCCCTTTGTTGTGCACATCTAATTATTCTGAACAAGAACCAAGCTGATTGTGCACAAGAAATGGTTGCAAAACATGACCTTGAGGCCAAGTGGGTCCGGATGATTTGAGGCAGCTTCTCCAGCTGTGGGGCGAGGCTCCGCGTGGCTCCGCTCACCCCAAAGAAGACCACCACCCCAGACGTTTGCCCAGCTCGTGACGGGGCGAATAGGTGCTGCATCCCGACGAAAACAACCCTTTATATGTGTTTGTATGGTGTTTGTTGGGCGCAGAATTCAGGAAGAGGATCTGAGAGTCCTGGGCGTTGATTGACATAGGAAGACCTCGCAGATCGACCCATTGGAAGAAGGAAGAAAACACAAACGGTTCAGGGAGTTCAGGGTCTCCGCATGTGATTTGTTGATTTCCTTAAGTGAGGGCCAGTATATACACACCCATATCAACCTTCAGCAGCCATTGGTCCTCGTCCTCCCTGCAGGACTGGGGACGAAGCTTCTTCAAACTTGGAGCGGAGGTGCAACACGGGAATTAGACAAATACGTATCAGCTGGTGGACGTGGGTGTGGCGGCTGGATGATCTTAGCGTGTTTTGGCTCCATCTAAGGGGGTGCTTATGGGTGCGTCCTATTGGATGAGTGATTTCATCACGTCAGTTCCAACAGTGCAACATGGATTGATTCATACTAATTTGAGTGGGACCATGTAACAGTGCTTAGTCAAGGAACATGTCTTCGTATTGGGCAAGCAAAAGGGTTTGATCAAGGAACATGTGCCCCATTTAGTCAAGCAGGTTCAGCATGAAGTAGGCGAACAGATCCCTCTAGTCCAACAGATGCATCGAATCAATGCTTGTGTGAACCCTCTAGTCAAACCAGGCGTGTTGTCCGCCTAAGCTAGCAGTGTCAAATTTTGGGTAGCTATCTCTCTGTACGGACGTGCACAGAGGCACTCACCCGCCGTGCATGGCTTGTGGAAGGCCAAAAGGGACCAAACCGAGTGACGCATCTCCTACCAAAGAGTGACGCATGTCTTCCTCTACATGGACTACTCCTGCAGCACCCGGATCCCCTTGGTCGGACCATTGGGGGGCATGGGAGCACGTTGCATTTGTGGCGGGGAGCCTTTCGATGGCTAAGATGTTCAATGATACAGCGGCTGCAGATCCACAATCGTTAGGACATGTTGGAAGCTTGTTTTGTGAAAGATCGCTAAGTCCAGATGTACCCCTTGCTGTCTTCGTCGCAAGGGAAAGGATGCGAAGAAGGCAACGGCAAGGGTGGCTTAGACATGTACATCCTAGATGCTAGGGTCTTTTAAACGAGCAATCAAGATGTGTCAAGGTGTAGGGTGTTTTGCACGGAAGTCGAGGATGGGAAGTTCATCATTCGTGGAGGCATTTTGTGGTTTGATCAAGTTCAACTTAAGGGTTCACGTCTTCCGAATTCAACTGGAAAACCACCAGGAACCTTAATGTGTTTGCCGTGTGCCAGTGTTCCAGATCCGGATTGATCGACGTCGACATGAGGATTTTGAGGCGGTTCGAGGCCAGCTTGTTCTTTGTGAGAAGGGTGCTGTTTTCTTCCGAAGTTTCTGTGGAAACACCACACAAAGATACCAACAAATGGGAAGGCGCCGGCACTTTTGGTGCTCTTCCGGACCACTTGACCTAATTAGTCGACCTAATTCGCCGACATTGGCCAAAGGAAATCAGTGGAAGACGGATCGCGAGTCCGGTTGACATGTGCAAGTGACCGGTTGACCTAGCCCGGTTGACCCATGGAAGCATGGACCACCTAACAGGTGCCAGGCGCCCCATTCGTAGCGTCCTTTCGCTCCGTTCGTAGCGATGCCCGAAATGCTCCGTTCGTAGCTCCAGGTTTTGATCCACCAAACCACACATGCTGACATCTCCGACCAATTCCAAACAGATGAGACTACCCAAACTGGGATACTCACAGCCAGCTGGATTGTTCAACGTGTTTATGAGTCGATGCTGTGCAGGTAGAGTGAATATGAGTGAATTTCAGTAGGAACCAGGCTAGACTGCTAGACAGGTCCTAAACAAATTGTATCGATGTGTGGTTATTACTGTTTTGGAATGAGTACTTGGAAACTTGGGGAATTTCGGGAAACCCGCAAAGTTGGGGCAGGACCACTGAAGAGTGATAGATCGCTGAAGAGTGGTACCAAGTACAGGGTGTGACGTGGTCCCGGCCCCAAATCAATGATGACAAGATATGAAGGATATTTTCCAAGCAGCTTTCTACACTAGGGCCTCCACCCTAGTAATTGAGCGATGGCCTCAAAGCAGCTAATAAACACTGGTTTGCGTCCCAATTCGTCCAGCAATCGACGCAGACTGACACGCACCCCGACCGCTTCTCAACCCGCAGGATCGTGCGCTTGATCGTGCCTCCAGGACGACATCGCTTGATCGGGCCACGGATCGGGCGGATCTGCTGAGACATCGCCGTCAGGTGACTCTCCAGGTGCTCGGTTTAGTACGTGTGCCTTTTTGGGGGTTCCCAGTGATTGATGGATTTGGATGGATTTGGGGAGATCAATTGGTCGTCCAGCTCTCAAGTTGTGGTTGCTTCTAGTGATCTCTGGCGATTTGTGTTGATTGCGAGTTGTATTTCGTAATCCTCGGAGCAAGATGAAGGAGCTTCATCGAGCGAGGGGTTCGTTTGCCGTTGTGTTTTGTCGTTGGCTTTTGTTTCGAAAGACCCCAAAGAGAATCATGTAGTCACCTCAGCCCCCTGCCTCACAGAGGACATGTTGCTCTTAGAGTTGTGTTACATGCATGGAGGGGTCCCTCCCCAAAGACTTTGGTTAGGTTTTTTAGATGTGCCAAAGAGTCCTTGTTGCCTTTTGCAATGTAAGTTGTGATGAGTTGTGCCACAAGGTTTGCTGCTTGAGTTTTTGGGGTTTGTGAGGATGGCTTGCTGATTGAGTTGTTTGTTGTTCAACAATTCAACCGACATGCAAGACTCATGGAGTAAAACGTGTGGGAAATTCCACATTTTCCCCTGTCACTTTTGCATCATTCGTCGTTTTCATGTGGGAATTTGCAGGACGACCATGTCAACAGCGCTCACAGGCGGGTTCTGCTCCCGTGAAGAGATTCGGAGAGACGAGATGCACTTGAAAAGCTTGTGGGCGATGAACATGGTGGACGAGTTCTGAGGTTTGCAGATGATTCTATGTTGTTTTGTTTCCCTTTTTATGAAATGGGTGCTGACTCATGCTGGCGAAAATACCTTCTCATTGTAACAGAACTGGCTTGCTACATGCAAGGTAGCATGATCATTTTTTCTGAGGTCCAATGATCCTCAAAATATCTCAGTGGATATAATACAAGTGGGATTTACCTCATGCCGACTCATACCCCAAAAATTTGGTTACTCTAAGGGTTGAACTCCCGTAAATAGTGTGGTGCCAGTCCCCCTGCTGAATAACAACCTGCATTGCATATGTATTGTTCGACCGAATTCGGAGATGAAAAGGGGCAAGAGGTGTCAAGTCCAAGGTGATAGCGTGTGTTTTCCAGTTTTGTGTTGATTCACAGCATTGGATTTGGTGCTTCCCACCTTCGGCTTTGTCAAAGATCCGGTTTCTAGGTACCTCCATGTAGCCAAAGAGCGGCAGCACTGCCCAGCAGGATCATCAGCTTTATCAGAAATGTTGGATCAAAGGTGAATTGCTGAATTTATATATAAAGTGTAGAATAAATTTAGTCAAAGACGCGCCAAATTAAGAAAGTAGGTGCGAGTCGGATGATGATGCCATACAAAGTACCAACATTTCAGCATACCGAAGAACCCCCCTCGAAAAACTACGTACTTGCATCTCCTTGACAGGCATGATTGTAGAAAACCAATGAAATCGAAGGAACAACAACTACGAGCAACAAAGCAATATGCTACGTTCACCAGAAGGCTTTAGTGCCTACTTTACCTGCATAATTTCGTCTTTATAGTAAACCACCGTTTCCATGAAACAAATCTGCAGCATGGCAGATTGATGTAGATCTTTCGCAGAGTGCCACGTTGCTTTTTGTCCAAACAGGTGATGGTGCTGTTTTGGAAGAACTCCAAGATGAGCAAAAAAAAGAACATCTGACGGAAGTTAGTTGCAGCAAGTTGTTCAAAGCTGCAAGGTGACCGAAGGTGACCATTCAGTTATATATGTATAGTAATAGACCATGAATATATAGGTTATACATAATTACTATATATATATATAGTGATTCATGTTGTTGTTGCTGTTTTTTTTTTTGTTGTTGTTGTTGTTGTTGTTGTTGTTGTTGTTGTTGTTGTTGTT